AAAATTAAAAAAAAAACCCTAAAATCTGTTCACAGTCCTTATGGGCTATAAAGTGAATTTGATGAGAACCTTAAATTGGATTCAAAAGCTTCAAGGGAAGAAAAATTCTGGTCAGAAATAAAATCATGATCTATAAAAGAATGTGTACATTGTACTGTAATAAATATAAATCCAGAGGTTAACATGATCCAATGGGTAAGTATTACAGAGATTCCCCACTCCACTGTAAGATCAAAAGTGCAGAACAAGAAAGCTTTGAATTCTGGGGCTGGAGAGTTGGCTTAGCAGTTACGAGCACTGACTGACTGCTTCTGCAGAGGACCCAGGTTGGGTTCCCAGGACCCACATGGCGGTTAACACCATCCTGTAACTCTGGGTCCAGGGGATCAGACACCCTCTTTTGGCCTCTACAGGCATTGCAGACGGGATCCACTTCCTTGCAGGCAAACCATTCATTTCATACCCGTGAAATAAAATTAAATCATAAAAGTTTTTTTAAAAAGTTTTTGAATTAATGAAAATACTGCCTGTGGGGCTGGCTTAGTGGTTGGGAGCATTGACTGCTATTGCAGAGGACCCAGATTTGGTTCCCAGAACCCACATAGTGTTTAACAACCATCTGTTAACTCCAGTTCCAGGGGATCTGATGCCTTCTGACCTCCGAGGGCATTGCAAGACACGGGTGCACTTATACACATGCAGGTAATACCCTCATACACATTAAAAAAAAAAAAAAAAAAGAGAAAAAGAAAATACTGTCTGTGTGTGTATACATGAAACATCCTTTAATGCCTTCAGAACTGTAAAGTTGTAAATAGTCAAAACATTTTAAGACATTACACAAAGGATTTCTAATTTTCTTCATGTACATAGAATAAGAACTTGATACTTTGACCCAAAACAATACAGCAATTTTCCTTGTTATAATTCTGCCAGCTGGGCGTGGAAGTGCATGTGAAAGTAAGGCTAGCCTGGTCTACATAGCAAGTTCCAGGCCACCTGGGGTTACAGGGAGACCCTGTCTCAAAAGAACAAAACAGCAACAAAAAATATGTATTTACATATTTTGTGATATGTGGTTTATTAGATCACAGCTTCTTAAACTGGATGGCAACTGCATATAAGATCACATCTAAATGTGGGCGTTATGAAAAAATCTGACAATAGTAAAGGGCTTTTGAATACAGAATGATCAAAAATTAGTTAAAAAGTCAAACGCATCATGAGTCTTACGTGTTTGTAGCAGCACTTGTCCATGCTGCCTTATTTAGCATCACCACAGTCTTGGTTCTGAACACACATACACTTTGTGCTGTGTATGCCATCACACCACACTGCTGACCTTGGCTCAGCTTCAAGACTATTGTATGTTACAAATTGCAGTGTTTTTACTGTACAAAAAATGTTTTCTGACCTATAGAAGCTAGATTAAATACAAAACAAGATTATTTTTCTACTGTCATTTCTCAGTATGTATAAAATTAATATATCTTTGGGTACCATTGTGTGTGATACTTGATTTTAAAAATTGAGTTGGCTTGGGTAAGGGTACTTGTTGCCAGCCTGATGAACTGAGTTTGATCTCCAGAACCCACATGGTAGAAGGCGAAAACCAATTCCTGAAGGTTATCCTCTTGCCTTACATGCACAGAATCACATCCACAGTAAATAAATATCTTAAAACTGCTGTTAGAGTTGCTGACTTGAGCTTCATTAAGAACCATTCAGTGTGCTTGGACTTGGGATTAAGACACAAGTTTGAACAGTTTCCTTTTTTAAAATTATTTTATGTGTTATGAGTGTATTGCCTGTATGTGTCTTAGTGCACCTGTGTTGTGCAATGCCTGTGGAGATCAGAGAAGGCATCGAATCCCTGGGAACTGGAGTTATGGATGGTTGTTGGCTGTCATGTGGGTGCTGAGAATCAAACCTGGATCCTCTGCAAGAGCAGTCAGTGCTCTTAACTGCTGAGCCATCTCTCCAGTTCCCTTTCTGTTGTTTTTTTAAAAAATATTTTATACACTTTTTTTATTTTATGTGGATGACTGTTTTGCCTGCATGTATCAAGTGCACCACATGCGTGCAGTACCCACAGAGGCCAGAAGAAGGTGTCAAATCCCCTAGAACTGGAGTTACAGATGGTTGTTAGCTACTATGTGGGTGCTGGGAATCAAACCCAGGTCCTCTGGAAGAACAACAAGGGTTCTTAACTGCTAAGCTATCTCTCCAGCCCTTTGAATAAATTCTGAAATGGCCCTAAAGTACCCTTCTGCTATTTTTGAACTACATACATAAGTGTAACAGCATTTTCATCATTAAATTGATCAACTCTGAAAAATGTTGAAGATGTTGTGTATGTCCTGAAGGACCAAATATATGCAGCCAAGACTGATTCTCTCTCTCTCTGTGTCTTGAGATATATATATAATATATATATATATATATAATTTATTTATGTATGTGTGTATACCTGTGGCATGCCACAGTACACTTACAGAGGTCAAAGGACAAATTGTGGGTGTTGGTTCTTTCTTTCCACCATGTGGGTCACAGTGATGGAACTCAGCTCACTGAGGAATCTCACTGGCCCAATTGATTTTATTTTATTTTTTTTGTCTTATTGAGACAAGGTCTCCCTGTAGCCCCAGCTGGCCTGGAACTTGCCATGTAGACCAGGCTGGCCTTGAACTCACAGAGATCCACTTGCCTCTGCCTCCCAAGTGCTGGGATTAAGGTGTGTGCCACCACACCCGGTTTGAGATTCTTTATGTGCTTAAAATAATCAAACACAACATCTCCATATGTTGTTTTTGTCTTTAATGGCAAAATATATTCAACAAAGAATTGTTTTATAGTAAATTTCCTTGTGATTTATTACCAGTGCTTGATTTTTATTCTTGTTTTATATACCTGTGTATCTAGGGATTGTGTAAAAATTTCTTGGGTGAACAAGGTGTTATGAGTACAAAAAGTATAAGAAACCCTGTATTAGATTACCATGCCATTGTCTGCTACCAGATCATTTGTTGTGCTTCAACAATTATAAAACTTGAACATAAATTCTTAATAAACTAAAAGCATTATTTGAAAAAATAGTACGTAGAATGTAAGATGCATATAAATCATCACATGGATCAGCCACATTCCAAGGTTTTCTTTTTTCTTCCTCCAGATTTTAACATTATGGCGGGGAGACATCAGAATCGTAGTGTTTCTCTCCCAGGTGTCCAGGCAGGTGGTCAAGCACACACTTTTGGGAATTGTACAGACAGTGATGTGTTGGAAGAAGATGCTGAAGTATATGAACTTAGGTCCAGAGGAAAAGAGAAAATTCGAAGAAGCACGTCAAGGGATAGACTTGATGATATTATTATCCTAACAAAAGATATACAGGAAGGAGACACTTTAAATGCAGTAGCCCTTCAGTATTGTTGTACGGTAAGTTTTAATTTAATTTTGCATAATATAAACCAGAATAAATTAGTTGTGCATTAGCCCAACCCAAATTGAAATAAATTCCCTGTCCTTCATTGAGTTCCTTCTCTTCCTTTTTTTGCTCTTTGTGTGTGTGTGTGTGTGTGTGTGTGTGTGTGTGTGTGTGTATTTAGGGGGTTGATAATTTATGTTTATAAAAATGGTATATACTATGTATATTCTGCAGCTTGAATTTTTCATAGTGTATTGTGGAGAGCCCTTATAACCTTATAGAGCTAATTCATTGTTTTAAGTAGCTATATACTGTTCATAGTACTAGTAAGTATTAGAACCAGTAATAGTAAGCTATTCTGCTGGTGAACAGTCTGGGGGTTTTTGGTGTTTTACAGTGCAGGGTAGATTGCCTCACACTGGGATCCCTTGCTTTTATGAGGGAGAACCTCCAGAGTGGGATTGCTAGTTCAAAGGAAAGGCATGGTTTAGCTTTAAAGATTGATTTTTTTACTCTTTAAATTATGCACACGCATGCGTGCATGCATGTGAGTGCAGTGTTTGCAGAGGCCAGAAGAGTGCTGGATCCCCTGGAGCTGGAGTTACAGGTGGGTGTGAGCCACCTGACATGGGTGCTGGGAACTGAACTCCAGCCCTCTGCAAGAGTAGCAGGTGCTCTTAACTATTGAGTCATCTTGCTAGCCTTGTTTTAGTTTGAATAAATAATAGATCTATTTTTAATAATGTGAAATTCTGAGAGCTGGGCATGGTGGCACACGCCTTTAATCTCAGTACTCTGGAGGCAGGTGGATTTCTGTAAGTTTAAGGACAGCCTGGTTTATATAGTTCCAGGTCAGCTGGGCTAAGGGGAGAGCCTGTCTCAAAAAGAAACCCCCCTCCCCCAAAAATGTGAAATTCTTTTTTTCTCCTAGATTATTTTCATGCACAGAAATTTTCATAATGTAAAATATTTTTATGCTTCAAATTCTTTTACTTGTGATCTATCATACTACTCTGCAGTAGGAAAACACACATCTATTCATTTGTGTATAATGTTTGTGTTATGTATTTAAATAGGATTTTTTTAAAAAATGAGCTTTTCATGACCATGAGATTCTGGGTAATAATTTTTTGAGATAAAGTAATTATTACAGTTATTCATAGTATATCAAAATATATTACAGTATTAGATAAAGATTAACAAAATCTCTTATTGGAATGTATTTTTGATGAGGTAAAGATATGAGTACATGTTTTTTGTTCCTTGCTTGTCCATAGCAATACCTACCATTCCTGTCATTGTTAGATTTTTAAAAATCTAATTTCAGTTTTACTACAAGTAAATGTATGAATTTTGTGGAGAAAGAAAACTGAGGACTAAATGACTGATTGTATCTTAAAAGGTCAGAGAGGTAAAACTAAAAAACAAGGCAGAGATGCCAGAGAAAGGTGCAATAGATTTTTCAGAGAAAAATGTTAATTCTCCTTTAATGAATCTGGAACATTTTCTTAGGCAGGTATTTGAAATGTTATCTTAGTAATTATAAAAATAGGTCATATTTCCAGTGAGATGAAAGTAATGAAATGTTTGAGGCATTTGACAGCGATGAGATTCCAAGAGGGGAATCAAGTGAACAGCAAGCAGGAGTTTTAGTAGGAATTTTAGGAAGGAGTGGCAAAGACTGGAATGAAGCATTCTGAGACAAATGAGAAACAGTATGAACACATCATTGTAAGGTTTTAACAGGCATGAGCCAAATGAAAGCCCCCTACTGGCAAATTGGACAAGATCTAATGGAGATTATTGAAATAATTAAATGAAGATGATCACGGCTTAGGCTAAAATATTTGATAGAAACGATGATAGAAAATGTATTTGGGAACAATCAAGACTATATTAGCTGGTGTATTATTTGAAAGGAAAAATGATGAGAAGTGATTGTTAGAGGAGAGAAGGCATGGGCTACAGCAGGGAGAAAGTTGATGGCACAGAGTTAAGACTTAGGTAAGCAATGCTCCCTTGTGATGGAAGCCAAACTAGCAAGGAAACATGAACCTTACAAAAGGACTTTTCATTTTGAAAATCCAGTAAGTTGTTAGTGCTATATGAAAATATGCCTGTTATTAAACACTGATGAGGGGAGTACAAGGTTTAGAGAGATAACACTAGTATATGGTGAGTCTTGGAACCCTAATTAAGAGAGGATATTTATCAGTTCCTAGTAAGAGAATACAAAGCAAGAGAACATTTTAAAAGAAGGGGTCAGGGCTGGAGAGATGGCTCAGCAGCTGAGAGCACTGGCTGCTCTTGCAGAGGACCCAGGTTTGGTTCCCAGCACCGCCAGGTGGCTCACAACCTTCTGTAACTCCAGTTCCATGGGATCCTGCACCCCTTCTTGTCTCTGCAGGCCCCATGCACGCACGTGATGCACATACATAAATTCAGACACACTTTCATACACATAAAAATAGTAAAATATATCAAATGAAGTCTTGCTTTGGGGTTTGCCAATGAATCTTTATTTGCTTTAAGACAAAGCAGTCTAAAGAGGATGGCAAAGTGCTCTCTTCCTTTACTGTCTCATCTCCTGGTTATTCTGCAGTTCTCTCCCAGTACTCCTCCAGATACCCCCCAGGAGAATTTTTCCTGTATGACTGCTTTCAGTTTTCCAAGTACTGATCACTAATCTAAGTTGATTCTATTCACTGGTCCCTCTTACAAACTCTCCTTGACTTCATGATAACTGTAGGCCTCTGATTTTCGTAATTAGTATTCAATAAAAGCTAACATAATATGCTGTAGATCACTGCTCCAAGTGTTCTTCATACATTTTAATCCATTAATATTCACATCAACCTTGTAAGGTAGTGGGTATTATTACTGACAGTTTACAGCTGTGGAAACTAAGTAATAGAAAGGTCACACAGCTTGTCCTAAAACACACAGTGAGACCTTGTCAGTGATGCTTCAGATCCAGATATCACGCTTTCACCACCATGTGGCACTCACTGCCTTTCATCTTGGTGGGTTTCACTTCCTTATCACACTCTCAAATGCTATTTCTCAGGCTCTTTCCTTTTACCTTTTCTTCCTTTCTTTTTACTTAATCTATCCAAATCTCATGCTTTTTTTGTCTGAGTTTCAGGCATCTTATCTTCATCTTGACTGAACCTCTTTCACTTGTGTATCTGAGGTACCTAAAAGCCAGGGCAGCTGCAATCAAACTCTTTTTGACCTCCGGTGCTCTGTATCTCTTGAGTGGCATCATTAACCATGGAGTTGACCAGAGTAGAAGTTCCATTTTAGACTGATATATGATGAAAGCTTAGAAATACAGACTTAGTGTGATCAGTGGATCTAATAACTTAAAGGTAGTGAGAGAACCTGGCATACTAATTGGTAATCTGAGAAAGTCTTCTTTCCCCTCATCACAGTGGCATACGACAGCTGAGGATTATATGAAGTATATAAAGAAACCATGAAACTAATTTGGGAGGTAACTGAATAATACATTTACACTGAAGGATTCAGGGAAACACAACTTCAGAAGACAAGAGAGGGGGATAAACATAAAGTATATGTTTTTTCACACATTTTAACATCTTTGAAAGTTGTGTAATGATGGTGTCTTCATTATATTTGATGCAGTTTTTCATCCCTTAGAGGTACCTAAATCTTGGTGCAGCCTAGTGTTGATGGCATTTTAGTTTTGATAAAGTATGGTACTTTTTTTTTTTTTTTAACTAAGTAAGTTAACATTTGCTTTCAGTCCAGTTGCCTCATTGGAATAGAGAGCATAAGTACCTGCCATTGTTTCTTCACAAATGCTTACAAGCACAGTAGAACTGTGGTATTTGTACACGATGTACAAAGAAAATAGCAGTATGTTCTAGCATTAGCCAGTATTACTACTATATGTGTGATGATAGAAAGTGGTTATTTTCTAACACTGGTACATAAAAATTGGTTTAGAATTCTCATCTACAAGTAAACATTAAAAATCTCCTAGGGTGTGGTAACTTAACACTAGTAAGAATTAAATTCAGCTTTTCTCCCCTCCAAACTAAGTAGGTATTGGGGGCTGTTAGCTCTGGCTTGATTTAGAACTCCAATGAATGTTGCATTTTTCTTTTTTACAGGTAGCAGATATCAAAAGAGTTAACAATCTCATCAGTGATCAAGACTTTTTTGCCCTTAGGTCTATCAAAATTCCAGTTAAAAAGTTTAGTTCTTTGACTGAAACACTTTATCCTACAAAAGGAAGACAAGTTTCTCGCCCTTCGCCTGTTCCGTACGCTCAAGAACAACAGGAAAGTTTACCAGCTAATGATTCTCTTTCTTCCAATGAGTCAGCTGGTAGCTTTCTAAAAGAAGTAGATCGAGACATAGAACAAATCGTAAAGTGTACAGACACCAAGAAAGAGAACCTTAATGAGGTAGTGTCTGCCTTAACAGCACAACAAATCCGCTTTGAACCTGAGAACAAAAACACTCACCACAAGGATCCCTATTATGGAGCAGACTGGGGAATTGGTTGGTGGACAGCTGTAGTGATAATGCTGATAGTAGGTATAATAACACCAGTATTTTATTTGCTTTATTATGAAATCTTAGCTAAAGTGGATGTTAGTCACCACTCCACAGTAGACTTTTCACATTTACATTCAGGAGTCACAGCTCCATCACAGCACAGAGGAACAGAAAATGCAATAGCTCCAACGAAAGGAATAAATGTCGGTCAACAAAATGACCACAAACTCTACAGCCAAGACTCCCAGTCACCTGCTGCTCAACACAGAACATAGCAGCTCAGACTACAATGTTAGTGATGCATCTGGAATGTGGTGAATCAAATCCCTCCAGCAACTACTTCAAAAGCAGAATTTTAGGAACACTGAAGATGCTTTGTTTTTAACGTTTCTAAAAATTTCTGAGCCATTTGCAAATGGATTATGTATAAACTCATGTTTGCTAGTTTATATTGAGAGCAGACAGTCCATCAATTACTACATCAGTCCTTAATTAAAGCAGAAATTGTATGTTAAGGAGGTTCTTAACCTAGAAGATATTGTCATTTTACTTCCTTGAGATTAGTTATGTTTAAATTTTACCTTTTAAAGAAATTATTTTTGATTTAAGGTTGTTCATGTCAGATATTGAAGTGTAATATTGTGTATCAGATGCTTGCAGCTGAAGAAAATTTGCTGTCATAAGCCACCTATTTAGTTGCAAAGCAAGTTTTGATTCTAAAATTATTTATGATACCAAGTACCTAATGCTCCATTTTAAAACTTTCAGAGCATGTTCAGCACACATGCTATGAAAGTACATGTAGAAACAGGAAAACATAATGTATTGTTTCTGTAAAAGGCTAAGAAATAGATTAAATATTATTAAGACTCCAAATAATGTTTTAGGGTTGGAACCTTGTCATTTGATCCTAAGAACACTGGAATAGGTCAAGACCTATAATTTTTTACTCTGTAAGAATGCTTTCCTTATGGCAAGCCCTTCTTCCTCACTTCACTTCTGTTTTTAAAACAATAGTTGTATCTGATATTTGAAAGCACTTTTGTAGTTCTTTGACAAAGTGTTATACAGATTAGCATATTCAGTAAATTACTCCTTACACTGTGATAAGTCATTGCTGTTACAAATAGTAAGAAGCCTTAATTGCACTCAATGCCTTACAATATTACTTCCATAAGTTAGTATGCATTTAGAATTTAAGTGAAACATTGGGCCAGATGATCCAGTGGGGATTCACGGCACAGGCTATATAAATTTGTCTGTCCTCACCTTCACTTTAAGCACAAGTTAATGGGGTAAAAACAAATCTGTACTGTCTGCCCTCTGAAGTTTTGCAGAAAATGGTTCATTAAGCAAAAAGGTGCAAAGAGGCCTTTTGCATTAGCAGTAGAGAAATTGTTTTTTTGTTGATCCCTTAACCTCTGTTTTTCCAAAAGAAAATGTCCAGCTTCAGACACTTTTCCCCCAAGGGCTGTAACATCAAATTGGGAAAGAGGCCATAGTTGTGTGGGTTGGTCAAAAGGACCTAACAGTGGCGATTTATAAAATCTGTGGGTCTGGCCATGTTAAGAAGCATTCTGCCTACTGATGTTTTTGTCTAATTTTTTTAAGTGTTCTAAAATATTAGTAAAATGACTCAAGAGAAATGAGATTGAGTGGAATCGGGACTGCATAGTCTTTGTATAATAAATGCATACCTTAAAATATGTAATAATCACCTTATTTTCTGGACATTATTTCCCAACTTAATGTTTAGCTTTTTGAACATTTTATATCTCAAACTCCAGTCCTGATACAAAAAGGTATGTATACATATCTATTACAGTTTCAGGCTTGTGTACTTTGAAGAGAAAGGAAAAAACATTATAAAAAGACAAGACAAACATTTTAAAGCCCTTGGTATCAGAGGACTTCAGAAAATTACCCAAAATGTATTTAATAGGAAGCTGTAGGAAATTGTTTTAGTAAATCTTTTAAAATAGTTAATTGTTTTAATATGCCTTGTGCATTTTGAAAAGAGCGTGAACTTTATGTTCAGTGTTAATGTAGCCAGTTTACGTTACATTTATTAAGCCTGCTGAAAAATCAAGTTTTAGGATAGAAAAGACACATTTTAGGGTAGAACAGAACAGACTACATATCATTTGAAGAACTTTGTTTACATAAAATTGATGAAATTACAGAGTCAGTGATTCTGTTTAGCTGGTTTTATTTTGAAATTATGATTGGAGGGCATCTGTTAACTTATTTTTA